TTGTAGTCAATCATGTCACGGTCTTTTGACCAATCGTGGTACAGGAAAAATACTACCTATATAATAAAGTGCATTGTGCACCTTCAGAAGATGTTGTCACGTAGGACATTGTTTCGCGATGATAATATTACATAGTGCACCGTGCACCTTCGGAGGATGTTGGTATAGTTACGGTCATATTAGTACAGTTAGGGTATTAACGCGTTCGGTTTCAAATCCTTAGTACAATAATCTACGATATTACACCATTGAAATCAGACCGCACACAGGAAGGATAACCATTGCTTTCAACAATGCCTCACTTATACCGCAGCTGTCAACTTGTTGCAGGAACCTCGGCAATGTAAGGTGTACATGTGGTCGTTCTTCGTTCAATGTTGCACTTGGCAATAATCCAGGCTTAAAGGAAAACCCATAACAGTTCGTTATATCTATCGGTTTGTTACATATTTATATACGTAGCTACTTTAAAGGTCACATGCAACGGAAAACACAACTTCGCAGATTCTGATACCTTTCGGTATGGACTTAAAGATACAAATCATCGAAACTGCAAATTCAACTTATAAAGTTGAAAAATAACACGATGAAAAAACCCCGCGAAATCGGAGTTCAAACGATTCACTAAATTCACCCCAGCGCTTGGGGTGAAAAGTGGGTTCAATAGCTGTGCTGTGCTGCGCTGGGCTGCGCTCATAGCACATGCGCAGTGAAATAGGTTCGCGTAGCTTGGAAGCGGGATGTCGGGATTATAAGGTCGTGAGCAGGAGTAGTCTAATCGAAACAAATAGTAAATAATCTACTCATTACATAAAAGAACCTTGTTAGGATCTAGATCTACTCAGCTGTGTCAACCAGTGAGGCGTTCGACACTTCAAGACGGAAAACCTTCGCTGGCGGTGAATACTCGGTGAAGGCTTTGATGTGAGTTATTTTTCTAACGTTTTGTTGATATTTCACAGGCGCGAACTTTTTATGTGTTATGGCGGTAGATTACCGATTTAACTGTTTATATAATTTCATTTGTCTATTTCACCACACGTTCTTCTTACCGAGTCACTTTCTCAGTTCGATACTTAAAAGCAATGTCATTATTTAGCGTTGACAGAATTTCTAACTGTGAATGTGATATAGATATGTCGTTGTCACAGACAAAACTCAATGTCTGTTTTATTGACACCAATGTGTCTGCCTGCATGTCTGCTAATAACAATACATGTATTCAATACACAACTTCGATCACTGACCACATGCAATTTGAACTTAACCCCCATCAGGTTATCCACCATAAACAAAACGCATTGATTTATGGCCCGAGTTCGGTCTCTGTCACATTATGTGATTACACAGACAGGCAGATGTGATACTTGTACACATGACATGTTATGATGTCTGTTGATTGCAAAATGTTACACCACAAAAAAATGAGCATGTATTTACACAACCCAACATCTCTATATACACACACACAATGAGCCGTGAGGGCATTGGCAAATGATCCAGCCGTTACACTTGAGTGCACACCCACCCGCTCTGACTGGGTTCGGTATCCAGGCTGCTTCGTTTCGAGGGAAGTAAACCCAAGTACAAAATATTGCACTTTTGATTAGCGATTGTACGCTTATAATTTTGTTTATATGTTTTTTTCATAATCAGCAATGTATATTATATGTCATGAATAAGTGATAATTGTGTTTTAATCATGTTTGCTTTTTTGGTTGCATGTGACCTTTAAGTACATGCCTTGATGATGATAAGAATATTCGAAGATTTTCTTCCAGTTTCTGAATGCCTTTCAAAGACTTCAAGATTTTCAAGTTGGTAGGTCCATGAAGGATCGGTTTTAAAGTAGGCAGGTCAGCTCAGATCACCACTGATCTCCAGACCTGATTATAACCCGTGGTTTCACCATGACTCACGGACCACTTGGGTATAATGTCCGTCGTAGTGTATGCGCTTAGAGCATGTCCCTGCGGCCTGGAGTTCAGGGCTACGTTTCACGAAGCTATATTAGCGCTACGACTGTCGTAAGTCTATGTTACAGTATTGGAGATACGAATGCTACGAGAAAAGTTACGAGATCTTAGGCTTTGTGAAACGGGGCCCAGGGCTATATAAGTGTCCATATTATCATTATGACAATTGTTCACTTGGCTTGCCTAGCACATCACGTTGGCATATCACTGTTATACTGTTAACGGACTAAGCTGACGTAAAACACAGCCAATGTTGACAAAATATGTTGATTCTGCTTAGTCAGTCAAAGATTTCAAATCATAATAACCATTGTTAATAGTAGAGGGCGATATAACAACCGGGGCTCCACGTGAAGTAATTTAACAGAACAGTTATACGCATTAGGTAACAGATTCAACTTGCTACAGGTAGCTCTACATAACAAACACTATGTCTCTAAAACCTCCCTTAACAAGGTAGATAGACCCCTGATTGTGAGAGCAACATCCCGGGGTAGTCCGGGGCTCATGGCCCAGGTATATTTAACCCTATTTGGAAGAATCTGACCCGATCGTTCAAGTAACAGAAATAAATAAATTCGTTTTGTCCTTCAACTACTTCAACTAGAAGAGTCCAATTTTAGATCATAGGGGTGCCACTAGTTCACCATTGCGTAATCAACAGTCAACAGACCATGACATGTTATTTTAAGGTGAGGTGAAATTGGGTTTTACGTCGTACTTGAGAATATTTCGCTCATATGACGGCGTGCATGCGTGTGTATGTGTATGTGCGGCTGCTTGTACTAGCCCAGACTTAAGCTGGTTTTATAGTGCTAGCCCACTGAGATACCATGCCGCAGTGAAGCATGAATACCCCACTCAGACACATTATACTGACTCCGAGCCTACCAGTCCTTGTTGTACCCATTAATGCCGAGCGCCAGGCAGGGACCAACAAGTACCATATTTTAACGTCTTTTGGTATGACGCGGTCGGGGATCGAACCCACGACCTTCCGCTCTCCTGGCGGACGCTCTAACCACTACACCACGGATGTGGTCCTGTTATTTTAAGACTGTAGGCGAATTGGGATGTAGGCGAAATAAGAACATACCCGTTTAAGGCACCGCAAGTATAATTGTGCAAATGCGTCAATTAGGCGTGTCAGAAATGTATGATCGTCAATTCGACTCCCGGTTCGCCATGAGTTTGTCTTGAGGTTTGTCGGCATCACACTCATGTTTTTGTTTTAGTGAAGTGATAAATTTGGGACGCAAGCTTATATGCCGTGATATGACTGAAATACGTACAAAAGTTTCTCTTTCATTCTAACTCTTTAGTTCTGAGAATAAAAAAATGTTGCGATGAGGATCTCGTCCGTGCTCTCTCATGCCACTTGAGAAAGGCGAAGTATTTTACGTCCGCCTCTCTACGATTTTCTCTCTTTGGACAAGAACTTTCAGTTATCTCATCAGTGATACTGCCACACAGAAAACACTTCTCAGAGTCCGAGGTTCAGAAGAACAAATATTTCATTCACGAATATTAGTAAACAAGGACTATCATTTATAAACGCGTATCATTGATGACTGAACCAAGCCACAAAACAGGCAAGGTGGTCTATAGTTAATCAAGAGTTATCTCCCATGCACCTATCGCCTTGCCAACAATATCCGCAGACGGGAAGTATAACTTAAGTCATCAGTCAGCACATCCAGTCTTGTCTCTACGGATCACTTCCGTAGTCTAATGGGTAGAGCGTCTGTCTAGTGGTTCGAGCTCTGACTGTGGTACACCAAAAGACATGAAAATATGGTACATGTGGCATTGTCAAGAGCTTAGCATTTGCTAGATATGACAACGTGTGGTCAGTTCTGAGTCCGTGGGATGTGTGGGGTATTATGAAGTATCCATGTCAAATTGCGGCAAGAGTAGAGACACCAAGCGGAGGATCCGGGAACCAGTCAAGGAGAGCTGGTACCAGCAGTCACGCCCGTTGTACAGGCACATCGCATGATCCGGAATACGACATACAACTTCACTCCCTACCATCTCTTGTTACCATGGTTATCATGAACGTATTAGGTACCTCTTTGAGATTCCATAAGGCTCAGGATTACTAAGAGCTCCACTGTTTTGAGTGTTGGTTCCTGTCTAGACACTGTAATTAGATCCTTGGATAAAACATGGGACGCTGCTTCAGCGCAAATAGGGCAGTGATTGGTCATATTAATATATGCGAGCCACAAAAAGAAACTGCGCACATAGGAAACCAAAACATATACTGGCTCCACAGTTGGTATCAAATACAAATGTTAACACAGTAATTAGTGATCACTGAACACAAATACATGTGTTACGTCCATATTGGTCGAAATATGAAGCCCATGTCTGGTGTCCCCCGCCGTGATATTGCTGGGCTATTGCTAAAAGCATACTCCATACCACTCACATGTGTTACGTTTGTGCATTGTAAAGTGAGTGGAGTACATGTATATCAAAAACTGCTGTCGACTCGGGAAGCTTAATAGTTTGACGGTGGATCGTTCAGGAAACGATGCAGAACACACGACTCCATAACGTCATGAGGCTACTGGGATGGGCCGTGAGGGAATGTATGAACGTCAGCTGACAGCACATTTCCCCCCAATTCAGCACTGCTGAGACGCAGTCAGAACAATGATGAAGTTGCCGATCGTCCACGTGCAGCGCCACAACAAGACAGGACTGATGGGGGGTGAGCAATGTCCGGCACAGACTCCTGACTGCAGTGACCACTGCGCAGACTGTTCCAGGGTCCGCGTATCTACCCCAACACAGACGGAACCTGCTTACTTCAAACCCTGTCGTAGTGGAGGACTTTTTTTACAGTTAAAGTCCATTTTCTACAGTGCAGATTTTAACATTTCTATACAAATAGTTGCAAACTAAATACACACAGAGTCACTATACACACAGTTGCAATCTGAATACACACACACACACTCAGTCACCGTACACATAGCTGCAATCTAAATACACACAGTTGCAATCTGAATATACACAGTTGCAATCTGAATACACACACATAGCCAGATTCACTATAGACACAGTTGCAATCTGAATACACACACAATTGCAAACTGAATATACCCACAGCTACAAAATGAATACACACACAGCTTGTCAATACAAACACAGCTTGTCAATACACACACAGCTACAGTCTGAATAGACACACAGCTTGTCAATATACACACACATCTCCAATCTGAATGCACAAACAGTTACTCAATATACACACAGTTGCAATCTGAATACACACACAGCCAGATTCACTATACACACAGTTGAAATGTCAATATACACACAACTGCAAACTGAATACACGCAGCTTGTCAATATACACACAGAGCTCCAATCTGAATGCACAAACAGCTGTTCAATATACACACACAGCTTGTCAATATACACACACATCTCCAATCTAAATGCACAAACAGTCAATATACACACAGCTACAATCTGAATGCACAAACACCTAGACAATATACACACACAGCTACAAACTGAATACTCACACAGCTGTTCAATATATACACACAGCTGGTCCAGATACACACACAGCTACAATCTGAATACACAAACAGCTAGTCAATATACACACAGCTAGTCAATACACACAGAGCTGCTCATCTGAAACACGTCAATACACACAGAGCCACAAACGGAATATACACACAGCTTGTCAATATATACACACAGCTACAAACTGAATACACACACAGCTAGTCAATATACACACAGCTACAATATGAATACACACACAGCTAGTCAATATACACACAGCTACAATCTGAAAATACACACACAGCTAGTCAATATATACACAGCTACAATCTGAATATACACACAGCTATTCAATACACACACAGCCAGTCAATATACATACAGCTACAATCTGAATACAGACACACAGCTAGTCAATAGACACACAGTTACAATCTGAATACACAAACAGCTGCTCAATATACACACACAGCTACAATCTGAATACACACACAGCTAGTCAATATATACACACCTAGTAAATACACACACAGCTAGTCAATATATACACACAGCTAGTAAATACTTAGTCAATACACACACAGCTAGTCAATATACACACACAGCTAGTCAATACACACACAGCTACAATCTGAATACACACACAGCTAGTCAATATACACACACAGCTAGTCAATATATACACAGCTAGTCAATACACACAGCTACAATCTAAATACACACAAGGCAATATCCATTACACACACATAACTGCATGGCAGGGTCACTGTACACACAGGTGTGTAGTGGTATATACATTATGCAGGTTGTTTTTGTACACAACAAAAGCAGGTTTAGCAAATTACAATTTCAGTTCATATTCATTCCCAGTTTATGCATCATTGGTGGTTAGAATATCAAATATAGTTGCATTTATTCAGTTACCATGGTTTCCACATTTACATTTCACTGGTATGTTACATTTTGCCACCTGAATAAATATTCACATAATGGACCTGCTGGTTGTGGCCTTTGAAGCATTTGAATAATTTTACCTGTAAAGTACGAACAGTGCTAAATGTTGTATGTCATCCAAAATCAGGTAACCAGAGTGAGGTAGGGCCAGTTTACTAGGATTGGATTTGTTGGGTACCGACCAAAAGCCCCTGAACAAAATTCCTCGATAATTTGAGCACCCCAGTCAAAAGCCCCTCGATTCATGTATTTCACTGCTCTTATATATTTAATACAGTATTTTAAGTAGGAGGTGAGTTGAGGTGAAATTGGGTTTAACGTCGCGCTGGAGAATATTTCGCTCATATGACGACATGCATGTGTGTGTATGTGTATCTGCTTGTACTACTAGCCCAGACTGAAGCTGGTTACAGTGAAGCATGAATAGCCCACTCAGACACATTATACTGACTCCAAGCCGACCAGTCCTTGCTGTACATATTAATGACGAGCGCCAGGCAGGGCCCAACAAGTACCATATTTTAACGTCTTTTGGTATGACGCGGTCGGGGATCGAACCCGCGACCTTCCGCTCCTGGGGCGGACGCTCTAACCACTACACCATGGAGGTGTTTTTTTAAAGTAGGAAAAAGTATTTTATATTTTACAAAGTATAATGAACATTTCTCATTGCCCTTATATATTTTATAAATTATTTTATTGTTTAATTATTAACTTAAATGCAATAATGTCTTTAATCATTTCTTGTTGATTTGTTATCATTTGTTTGATTATATGTATTTCTTATTCACTAAAATTATTTGCTAATTGCATATTAATTTATATATTATTTAAGATCGTTTTATTATGAAGCAATAAATTTCTCATGTCACTAATCATTTCTTGTCTTTAATCTTATTTACCCAATAATACATAAAGTGAAGGGCTATTTTACAAGGGGCTATTGTCCAGAGGGGCTTTGTACCAAGGGGCTTTGTACCAAGACTCTGATTTGTCATCAGGAGGAACCAGACTGAAAGCTATTAGCCTGTATCCCAGTCTGAGAAAATATTCTTGTCCCTCCTGCCCAGCACTGTCCGTAATTGAAACACCCTGAGTGAAACAAGTCAGGTTCCGATATTTCCATCTCACTCAGGCTCCTTTAAATGGAGAAATTTGTTTCTATCAAAGTTGAATATTTTCATAGAGTAAGCATCAGTGTGTTGTGACACTGACAAGCCTGACAAAATGTCACCCTTAAAGTGAAACTGAAACTTGGCCTTCACTGAGAGCCTCTCCTAGGTTTAAACTATTTCTGTTCTCAGTGAAGTTTGGTTTCCATGGTAACCATGTGCAAAAACCTACGTTATGCAGATAATTGCACTCATGTCAAAACAGGTGTGAATGATTAAATTTGATAAAAACATGAAGAAAAAACTCAACAGAAGTTGGCACAGCATTGATATTCAAATACTTTCTGCACACATAATAAGCCTACAAAACTAACTTCAGAGAATTTAAATAAGAACCAAACATACAGAACACGGTCACAAGAAGATATATTCACGACAATTGAACAGATATGTTAAACCCCACTGCCAGCTACACAAATTCTATTTACTGCATTAGTAGCCTGCAGTAGTTGTTTTTACACCTCTTCCAGCATCCAGCAATATCACACCAGGCAAGATTAGAGTGTTAGGCGATGGGGCGGGGGGACACCAGAAATGAACTCTGAAATGAATCAAACCTAGGTCTTTGAAATGACAGGGCTTTTGGGTAGCCCAGTGGTTTACGTGTTCACTCATCATGCCAAAGGCCTGTGTTCGATTCCACACATGGATACAATGTGTGAAGCCCATTTCTGGTGTCCCACACCATGATATTGCTGGAATACTCCTAAAAGCAGCATACAACTCAACTCACTCACTCTGGCGTGACAAGCAAACAATTAAACCACCAGGCTACCACAAAGCCCCCTGCTCCAGTAAGAAACGTGAGTATCTTCTAGACTAATCTGTAATCCATAACCTTTAAAAACACCCCATACTAAGCGCAAATATTACTTGTAACACATTATAATTGGGATTACACTTTCTCAGTGTGTGCTGGCAATTAGGTGTCTGACTCTGAGAGTGTGGGTTCGAATCCGTAAAAAGTACTAGAATCAGTACTTAACTGAAAGTGTAAACCCAAATATAACATGTATACATTTTAACACTTTCTTAATGGCATTGTGTATTCATGTTTTCAGCCATGGGAGCTGTGCCAATTTACACTTGTCAGAAGGGTACACAAAGTCTGTGGTCTAGACTACCAGTTGTTCGACTTCCATTTTGTGGAGGCAGCAGTGTTTGAGTCAGCTAGTTGGCTGACTTTGTGTGCTGGTGATTAGGTGCCGGACTCTGACAGTGCGGGTTTGAAACCCAGATGGGATACAATCCAACAAAAGTACTAGAATCTGTACTTTACTGAGAAAGTGTAATCCCAAATAAAGCATGCATTACATTTGACCACTTCCTAAATAGCATTGTGAAAATCTGTGTTTTCATCTTATGACTAAGAGCAGTGCAGAAGGGTTATTTTGTATATGGCATACCTATTTGCAACTTGGTAGATCAGAATTCTGGGAGCATGTAATCTCACAACTGGATGTATTACTGCAAAGTATAAGCTTCATTATGTACAAAGGCCATGTATTTTTAAGGCTTTTCCAAGAGGTTACTGATGGCTGGAAAGCCAGAGGACAGTAACGATTTCATTCATGTGACCAGAGTCATGAACAAACAACAATTCCAAACAACCCTCCTTTAAGAAAAAAGGGAAATAGAAAGGAGTGAGCTGTTTTTAATGTTGCTTATAAAGGTATTAGAACTATCTCGTCTCAGCTTGATCCTTTCCATGAGCAAGGAGCGAGCGAGTTGGGTTAACAATGCATTGAACTGCACAAAAGCAGACCTCAAAGGTTATCGCTTTGGGCATGGTGCTAACAGACCTCAAACCTAACTGTGGCAGACTAGGATTCAAGCCCACTGTCGTGGATTTCTGGTAGGCCCAATGGATGCAACTCTGCACAAAGAACTGAAGGGCCTAAGACAATTGGGCCACTGATGCCCCACTATGTGCAAGGAAATCCCAACATGGCAATAGTGACAATTGCTGGAGACTTGGCCAGGATAATAGCATATCAGCAGATCTAGATAATTCCATGAAATGGTTTTATTTCCAAGAATGCCACAGAAACACAACACAGTGCTGATTGTAATACTACATACCATTTATTCCATAATTTCAGTCCCTCAGGCTTCAAATATACACAATACGTTTGGATTATCAAACTGAAAAATCAGTTGGCTTTCTTGATGCTTGACAAGTCTTATCAACATCCATAAAAATCTGATCTCTAAAATAGTGACTTTTTTTGGGGGTGTCATCAGTGACAAGTTACTACCAGTAATTTATACTACAAATGAAATGAAGAAATATATATACATCTGCAAAGAGTTGTTCTAATTCCTTGGTTGTTTCAAGTCTAATACTTATATACACATTGTGAGACACAAAATGAGATTCACTGCATATGCCTTGGGAATGGGCGATCTTTGATGACATGGCATATATCAAGAAACAAGCTGCCTTTCAGTCTAGCTGTAGACATTGACTTCTTGCTATTTCAGAGTCTTGGTTCCTGTTGTGCTCTTGAGATGCGTATACAATACACACTTACACAAGTTCCATACATTGTGCCCATTTGTCAAACACCTTTAGGCTTTAGCCGGCAAATATGTGGAATGATAGGAAGAATCAATTTATACTGACTATATCAAAATCTGAACTCAGACAGTTTCTGATTGGTAAATAAATAGTGGAAGTATACATGTCCTCATACTATTATCAAATGTATTATTTTTCCACACAGCTGTAGAGAACGGTAGATTTTGATTCATGCAAAAGCCTTTTACCAGAGATTAGGCAAGATGAATCTCACAGGATACCGTTCCGAGAGGCCATATTCCCAAACACAAGCTTGTAACAGAATATTACAAATATAATGAATGTCATTTGCAGCTTGCAGAGTGAATTGGATAAAACACTGACTCTTAATCATCTTAAGAATACACAGATGAATAACTCAAAGATCGCCCATTACAAATATGATCGCACACAACAACAGATAAAGCAAGGTTGAAGGTGTGAGATGGACATCTAATCAGATCTGGTTTCAGACAAACTGTATACTTTTAGCAATCTTTACATTCTAAATGTCCATGCAATAAATAATGATACTGTTTCCAATCCCTTCGTCTTCTTGAGGTGTAGATCTTGACATGGGTGAAAAGGCTCATTGCACTGAGATTCTCAACATTGTTGGCTTTCCATAGGGTTTCTCACACATCTAAATGACTAGGTCATGTCAATTGTTCCTGATGAAAAGTTAAAGAAATTGTGTGGTCCCTATATCTTCGCTCCTGACAACACCATATACACATGTAAAATAAAACAATGTTGAAGTTCTTTTCTCATTTCCTATTTTTTAACTTATTTGAAAGCCAATCAAGTCCCTCATATAATCCATCTCCACTTGTAGCACATGCAGTCTGAGTGTACCATTCTCTGTTTTTCAAATTGGATAAGGCTAGCTTGTCCCTGATGTCACTCACGGTCATTGCATTAGGCAAATCTTGTTTGTTAGCGAACACCAAAATGATAGCTTCTCTCAATTCATCTTCTTGAACCATTCGGTTCAGCTCCTCCTTCGCTTCGCCGATTCTCTCCCGATCGTTGCTGTCAACAACGAATATCAAACCTTGAGTGTTCTGGAAGTAATGCCTCCACAGGGGTCTGATCTTGTCCTGACCACCGACGTCCCAAACTGTGAAGCTGATATTCTTGTATTCGACAGTTTCCACGTTGAAGCCAATGGTTGGAATAGTCGTGACGATCTCGCCGAGTTTCAGTTTATAAAGAATCGTTGTTTTCCCAGCTGCATCAAGACCGACCATCAATATTCGCATCTCTTTCTTTCCAAACAGGCTACTGAAGAGTTTATTAAAAGCATTCCCCATTTTGGAAACGTGGAATAGCTAGACGTAAATAATGTCAAATGTACCTGCACAAAATGGCGGATAAGGAAAAGCTATCCAGTGACGTCACTAGTAATATTCAACAGGCAACTACTTTTATATGTCACGCGCTACCTAAAGATTAGTTGGACATGTTTTTCGTGGTTGAAAATACTTCATATATACAGGATTTTTGGTTAGTCTGATCAATAAACCTTTCTTCAGCAACCAAGTTACACATAATCAAATACTAATTGCAACAACAGCAGGGAGCTTTTAGAGGGATTGCATGACGCATATTTAAATTCAGTTCCTATATAAAGGACAATGTTATCGACTAGATGAACCAACCGTATAAACTTGATATGACGACCCGATAGATATAAAAATGAGGTCATCTGACAGGAAGTTCTTTAATCTCCATGCATCAAGTCGCTGTTTACTTGCTTAATGAACTATTAACAACGTTCTCGTTTATTTATTTCAAATTCACGATCAGCTCATTTTGTTTGTTTGTTTGGGTACCTGGTAGGATTTACCTGTATCTTTATACATCGCGTCAGTGTCAACTTACTTAATGACAACGTCCTCATACATTTAGTTCAGATTAACACTCAGCTTGACATGTCCACAGCCCCACAATGCTTACGTGACATACCACGTGACTAGTCGGCTTCATGTTTATACACAGCTACAATTACATCAGAAGGAAAATGTGACGTCCACGTGGTTTATGATAATCACAAATGTAATCGAAATAATAACGAGAAGATATTTAAGCTGAGCGTAAACCTTCTTGAAACTTGTTATCATTTGTGTTATTGGTAACGTACAAGACAGGCGCAGACACATCAACAGAATATCACGTCACCTATGCCTGAAAGAGGATTCTTGATTAAGTCACCGACTTTACCGTTTTTTAACTTTTGTATTGTGCCTTAGATCAATCGTCGGTAAGTATTCAACTTGGCAACTTAAAAAGAAAATATAGTTCCCTTTACTCCCATACATAGCGCAATAAAGTTCAGTTTCGCCCTGACGTATGCTTTAAGAACGTTATAATAGGTCAAAACCGTACTTCATAACACTATACAAGGGTGTGGAACGAACTGTATTTCTTTAACTTGTCGAGAGTGATTACGTACTCGAATAATGTAGCGGGTACATAGTTAGAATATTTCATATCGTGACGTAAAACAGCATGCACTCACATATTTGTTAAAATGGGAAATTTCCATTTGCTGCGTGTAGAGGCTGCTCCTTTCAAATTAGACACGTCTCCATAAGCAGCACTGCGAAATATTCAAGACGTGCCCACTATGCACGTTTTTTGAGAACAAGTCATTTTAACCAGTGTTAGTTCCCATGAATCATAATATCATGATGTATGAATCATTAGATTGTGTTTGTTTTTAAGTAGCTCAACAATCCCTTTTATTGTTTTTCCGGAATGGGTGAGTAAAATCGTTCAGAATATTTTATGGATAGCCATGTTAATTTGTGAAAAGCCCTGTGTTTTAAATTTAATAAAAAGTAAGCTCCTCCTTGTCCAATTCCTCACTGATAATTAGTATCAGTACACAGAATATACACAAAGTACGTTATATACGACAGGCTACAAGTACCTTGAATCGTCAGAAGTTCGTATCATAAAGTGTCATTTAAAGTTCTATGTTTTGAAAACAGTCGTATGGGAAATAGAATGCAACAAGCTTGAACAGAGTTATGCCCCTTCCCTGTAAAGCCGTCCACTCATTCTGTTGCTTGTCCTCTAAACTATGTTCCGTGATAGTGTAATGCGATTAAGTTGATCGGCTTACGCCGACCACACCTACATAACGGTTTCGGATATAATCGAAACACAACATTGCTATATGTCCTTTGAAACTCAATAAACCATTAACCAAATATTAATGATGTCGCAAATGTGAATCTTAAAGGCAGACTTCTCTAAAAATCAATAAATGTATTATAGACCAACATATTGTCGAAAAAGCGTGTCATTGTGCCTTTAACAAGGAGCATATATTGCAATTGTATTTTCCTTCATGAGAGGACCTTACTGAACGCAATCACTGCTTCTCTCTAACACATGGTTTGTTTTCTCACGATAAATAGTATCAAATGTTGACATAACATAATGTAGTGCTTTTGATTACTCAAAGCATAAACTCATAGGTCAAAGTCAAACTTTCTCAACAAAATTAGATAATGAAAACAAATTTCAAATCGTCGTTGTCACGTCAAAGGGACGTTTTGCTGTAAAGAAAGGAAATATTTTTAACCATAGCAAAAATAAAAAAAAGGGAATTTCCTGGTGTAAAAAGAACAAACATTAAGTTCCCTGTCATACTGACTGAACATACATATGAGAGGTATTCATATAGGCGTAATGCCAGTTTACCGATTCATTCATCTACTCACAATAATGTTGTTTAAGTCACATACATATAAAAGAGTCTCGAAACCTGCAACTATAAACAATATGTTTATTGCACAGAGCGATGTTGCGATGTAGATACAGCGATGTCAAAGTAACGTGGACGTCTGTAACTCTAATTGTGTGATTGTGTGTGCATGTGTGTTTTGTTAGGGGTGGGGGGAGATGTGCAAGTACTAGTCTAGACTTCTGCTGAATTTTATAAGGTGCTATCCAGGGGCGGATACAGCTCTTTGAGAAAGGGGGGTTGGGGGATGGGTGAGTTGCACAGTTCGTTTTCACCCGTCTTCACGAGAGTTTCAATGGTCATGTAATATACCTTCAGGACAATGGCGTGTGTGTGTGTGTGTGTGTGTGTGTGTGCGTGCGTGAGTGCGTGCGTGCTAGCGTGCGTGTATGTGTGTCACCCCTGCAACCAACAAAACTAGTGAAATTAGAAACAAACATACTTGGGCTACTCTGTTAAAACTCTCACTTTATAAATTAGGATTTGGTTCTGCATGGGTTGAATAAGGGGTAGGAAAGAAAGCAATATTCCTGTCACTTGTACTCCAGAGTTCAATGTACTGTTTTCAACCGAACTGCAACGTCAACTTAAAACAAAAGACATGTTCGTGCACATATTCCTTATTCCAAGAAATTGTTTATTTGTGTAAAGGACTTCTATTGTATAAACATTAAGTCAGTGAGAACATCATTAGCCCAGTTCCGTTGTTGTTATAATGATTTTGTTTTACAAAGGAACTTTTCATGCAGTTGAACAAAGTCATATATGTAAATACTGCAGTCGTACTACTGCTGAAGATGAATATCATGTTCTTTTGGTATGTGATTTGTACTCAGAGAGGAGACAGCGCTACATACCACCTAAATTCACTAACTGTCCACCCAAGCAAACCTTGTTTCTTATGTCAACGCTAAACAGGAACCTATTATGTAACCTGGCTGTGTTCGTTCACTCACTCACTCGGTGTAACCCTTGTAAATACTCAATGGACCTACGGTAGCAGTTCAGTGAAATAGAACACATGAATGACTGGCCATCTCGCAGTTTATCATGGTTACCCCTCTCGCACTTTATGCTGACTGACCACGTCATACCTTGCGTCACCCACCAATGCCAAAGGCTAGACAGGTGTACAGTAACTGCCATCTTTTGATATCCTTGATTTGACGGAGATGGATCTATCTGCCGCTCTCCGGCCAGACATCCTGCCCACTAGACAATGGAGGCGGGTATGATTTAGACTGAAGGGATACAAACAGTGTTAAGGGATACAATCCAGATCACCGCACCCTCATGCCCACTTCTGTGCAGTCAGGACGATCAATATACAGAAGGTTAACCTGTCCTCAAGGGGAATTCCAATTAACAGGTTATAGTCCGTCTTAAGAACGTTCTATTTTTCGTATATTTATAGCAATGCATCGTGCTGTCGACGGTCCAATCGTCTAAGCTGTGCAAAGTTGCGTCCCTTGAGGTGCCATGACCAATTCCCGTTTAGTCATGGATGCCGTTGTGCAAAACAACCTTTGCACTAGGTCAATTGTAAGTCTGCAGTGTGGGATTTACGATCACCTTAGCGCTAAAGTTGTTGTACAACGGTATCCTGATAATTTTGGTAATTTTTCTATTTTCTTTTTCTAGACTTGTCTGCAACATACCCGTGTCAGAGGGTTTACCAAAGTTTGAATCGTCAAAGACGTGCAGCACTTCGGACTTTCCCCCCACACCAAACTCACACCGTGATTTAAATCGACTGTTGAAAACGGCCGAAAACCCAACTCACACTTCTTGGCAATCGAGGTTGAGATGCTCATTGAAAATGTGCTTTGGGGAAGTGGTAGTAAAATCCCTGCACACTCGAAATGCCTTGTTCTGAATCTTGTTCCGTCATAGCACATACTTCATTCAGTCAAGTTTAGGAGGATTTCGATATCGATCGTGGGCAGTTTAAGGGAGCCTATCTCGTATTGATTGATCACATTCTTAGCGGGCAGAGTAGCGCCGACCCACGAGGAACAATGGTTGGAATACGTTGTGGACGAAACTGGTATAACTCGTTTCAAAGTTTGCCGTCGACTATTCTGGAATTATTGCTTGATATTGAACAATAATCGATCGATAACAATATCGGAGAGAGAAAGAGTGTAAATGTCAACCCAACCGTTCCCTAGAATGTTTTAGGCTTGCACACATTGGCGAACACATTCAATTATATCAGATTTTCAAATCTCTGTATTTTGCGTCCAAAACTCGATGTTCTCAAAAGAGAAGGTAGGAAATCATGCAATGAATTTAAATGTTAACGGTGCGAAATTTGTAGATGCTAAGACGGGACTAATTATTCGATAATTGACGCTAGACCCCAATCAGTCTATCACAGACCCATTAACATTTAAGGGTTCTAACGTTCTTCATTGCCATGATTTCTGGTGTCCCGTGATGTTGCTGGAATATTGCTAAGTGGCGTAAAACCAAACTCAGTCAGTCAATCAGTCATTGCCATGAACTAGTTTAATCTTGACTTGTCAACCATTAGATTTGCATGCGCCGTCATCTATATATTTGATTAGGGTCTGTATTGGAATGGAAGATGCATTAGAGGCGACCGACAACCCCCGTGCTACCCTGTTCGGAAGGAAATGGTACGTACGTTACGTGGATGTGTGCATATATTTTGGGTACGCCAAAACCTGGTATTCATGATGTTGTCACATGATGTTCAAATAACATATGTCGGCATACACGTCTCGTGATGGCACATACGGCAAGTGATCGAGTCTCGACCAGACAATCCAGTGATCAACAGCATGAGCATCAATCTACGCAACTTGAGTACGATGACATGTGTCAACCAAGTCAGCGAGCCTGTCCACCCGATCCCGTTAGTCGCCTCTTACGACAAGCATGGGTTAATTCAATTCTAACCCGGATCTTCACGTGTCGAGTATTATGAAATATGGTCCCCACGCAATAAAACAGCATTCAGGCCATAGCGTTTAAGGTAGCGCATGTCACAGATAGTCCGTGCTTTGGAAGATGAAGATTACATCACACTGTGGCGCGACATACCTGCTAACGTTAACGCCTTTGGCTTGAGACTCAGTGGTTATTAATCATGTCACCCTCTCACGAAAATACTGACAAATCTCGCGCCAAACTGGGTTCATATGAAGGATATAATTTTAACTACGTTAAATCACACAAATAGGCCTAAATGCATTTTTTGCAGTGAATTTGCATTTATGCGTTGGCTTTTAGGGACTTTTTTTCCCACTGAACACCCCACCAGGTACCACAATGGACCCGGCCTGGGCTTGAGGCCCGTGGACCCAGGCATCTCAAGCTTTATTCTCTCTTGGAGACGTCATGATGCGTGTAGGTATTAATGGCGTAAACGTCTTTAAAGCAGTCAGACAACACATTTACCTCTGTATACAATTGGCAATTGACAATTTTATTAAATGACCATTGAAATGGTATATGGTGATAATGAAGTGTGCAACACACACACACACACACACACACACACACACACACACACACACACACACACACACACACACTCTTTCTAAAAAAAACTGTATCCGCCCCTGTATGTATTGAATAGGGTCAAGGTCATATGGCCTGTGTGCCGTTGTACAAAACAACTTTCGCGCTAGGTCTATTGTAAGTCTATGTTGAGGTATGGGATTTACGATCATCTTAGCGCTAATGTTGTTTTGTAAACGGTACCCTGGTCAGATCCCATCTGCCACTGATGTGACCTTGACCAGAAACTGAATATTTGTCCCAGCAGTGCTGTATTAAGACATATCTTTTCCGTTTCCTCCAAGTTCATACAGTTGCGTGATTAACTCCCAAATTATTCTCTGAATCCTTTATGGGATAAAACATTTTTAACGAAGGTTACACAAACATGCATGCTTAAGCATGTCGATTTCATACACCTGATGGTGCGCCAATGTGTGCAGTCACACACTCGTCTTTTAGGATGAGTTTTTAAAAGCAGGCATCCACGAACAGGAATCTATAAATGTGATCACCGGGTTCTTCGACGGTGCTAGATACTAATGGAAACACAGAACAAGTACATAATGTTCAAACGGACATTTTACTTCGCATACTCCCCAATGACGGGCCTTTCCGAAACATCACCGACGGCAATTCTCCAGTCTACATCTCTAACGCAATTGCATACAACAACGATCTTGATTTACGAAAGGCTTTGGTCTAATTGTTTCGGAATCGATCTGCCACCCCCCTGGCGACAATGGATCTGTCCATGGATGGCAACATTTCTGCATGGGCAATGGGCAGGGAGAAGGCTCCAATCCAAGACAGGGCTGGATCTGAGAGAAGCTTGCGTCAGGAAAAATCAATCCCTATCGTTTGAGCTCTGCCAAGGCAGCTGTCATCGGGGGAACGGACCGATCTGAGGTAAGCTTACATTTTCCTAACGTTTCACTCAACAAACGGCGAGTTTCGCTTAAATTTACCAAATATCTTGGTAGAATGACTACGAAGGGCGGTCCTTCCAGCTGTTTTTTACTGGATTATTATGAAAATGACCTCCAAGCGGAGGGATATCCCGTATTTTCCGTCAGCAGTCTACAGCGTTCTTCCATGCAGTGCCTCTCGTGCAACTTGCCCGACAGGAGTGTCGTCAGCGCCCTGGAAGACTGAAAACGTCCTCCGCGGCGCAATGTGTGGAACGCTTTCCCAGACCGTTTTCATCAATCGGCTTGGGGTTGTATTGAATTTTAAGGGTACGAGAGGGGGGACTGGTTACCATAGCAACAGATAAGTTATTGATTGGGGACTGCACTGGTGAATTCCTGCCATGGTCCGGTATCCTCAACCACGGACATTCCCTCAGTTTTGAACAATCCTGCTTACTCTCACCTCCACCAAGATCAATAACCTCTAGATTCCAGAGGATATCCTGTTAGGTCTTTTGGATGCCTGTCAGTTATCTGATGAATGTGCCCTATCTGTTGGGATAACCTATTCACAGTAATTCTGGACTGTCAGTACAGTTGGGTCTGTTGTTACTCATCTGAATACAGGTTACTCATTCTTGATTGCTCACCACTAACTCAGGAGTGGGCAAAGTAAGGGTATATGTCATTAGATCAGAATGTTATACATAGATTAGAACATTATTAACAAATATCTACCAGATCAGACCATTCCAATTGCTGTATACCATGAGATGAGAACCATTATACAATATTATACACCATGAGATCGAATCTATTATACAATATTTGTTTAATGAGATCGGAACCATTATATCATATAAAATGAGCTCAGAATCCTTATACTGTGCACCCTGGTTATACTGCCCTTGGTTATAATGCCACCCTGGATATAATGCCATGTTTTAGCCAGAACAGATTTCCTGCCTATATAATACCCTGGTTATAATGCCAATCTGGATATAATTCAAGGCTCATTACAGGAGACATCAGCTCAATCACCTTGTTGATTGCATAGGGCCTACCTGGTTATAATGCCACCCTGGATATAAAGCCATATTTCTCCTGGACAAACGGTGGCATTATAACCAGGGTATACTGTACGTTATTTTCTACAGTGAGATAAGAACCATTATGTAATAATATATGCCTTTGAATCAGAACCATCCTCCAATGGTATATACTATGGCATGAGAACTTTCACACAGTGGTGCTTGTAATAAGATCAGAACCATCTTACAATGGTATATACCATGGGGCCAGAACTTTCACACAGTGGTGCTTGTAATAAGATCAGAACCATCTTACAATGGTATGTACCATGGGGCCAGAACTTTCACACAGTGGTGCTTGTAATAAGATCAGAACCATCTTACAATGGTATATACCATGGGGCCAGAACTTTCACACAGTGGTGCTTGTAATAAGATCAGAACCATCTTACAATGGTAAATACCATGGGGCCAGAACTGTCACACAGTGGTGCTTGTAATAAGATCAGAACCATCTTACAATGGTATATACCATGGGGCCAGAAGTGGTGCTTGTAATAAGATCAGAACCATCTTACAATGGTATATACCATGGGGCCAGAACTGTCACACAGTGGTGCTTGTAATAAGATCAGAACCATCTTACAATGGTAAATACCATGGGGCCAGAACTGTCACACAGTGGTGCTTGTAATAAGATCAGAACCATCTTACAATGGTATATACCATGGGGCCAGAACTTTCACACAGTGGTGCTTGTAATAAGATCAGAACCATCTTACAATGGTATGTACCATGGGGCCAGAACTTTCACACAGTGGTGCTTGTAATAAGATCAGAACCATCTTACAATGGTATGTACCATGGGGCCAGAACTTTCACACAGTGGTGCTTGTAATAAGATCAGAACCATCTTACAATGTAATAGATGATATAGGATCAAACCTATCCAACAACGATTTACAACTTAAGACGAGAACCCTGTTACAAAAATGTATGTCATGAGATGAGAACAACCCTGCAGTAATACACCAGAGCTGTAACATACAGCAACAGAACTGGGTCATTGACTCATATTTTTCTGTATCTCTTGGCCCAGGGACCCTCCTTCAGGCATATTTCTAAGGTAATGGCTTACTTGACGTGCCATTATTCCTATCGATCTGTAGCTTGCCCATTCAGAGACAGATCTCATTAAAGTCAAACCCTTTACACAGCTTAGATACTTCTCTGTGTTGAGATGTGACAAACAATCTTTTGGCAGCTGTTCAAGATAAATTCTGGGAGAACATTTAATGCTTGATTTGATCCTTTTCACCATCATGATTTAGAAATAACTGAAAGAAAAGTCACCCACTACACAAACATTTTCTTGAATGAAAACCCATTTGGTCGAAGGTGCCATGATGTTGAGAAACAACAGGTGTTATAAAGTATCCACTATTGACAGTATTGTGTCGCCTTACATTTCTCTAAATGTTTCTCTGATGTGATTTCCAGCTGTAAAGTTTGACCTAGTTTTAGTTGTAAGGTTGACTGTATTGACATATCCAGGTGATTCTTGTGTTTGAACCTGTCACAGTGTAAATTGTCACCTTGGGATGGTCTGAGTAGTCTCCGAGTATGTCATGCCAGGCATAATATGTATCACTTTGGTTTTGACCCAGTTATACCCATGGCTTCCTTATTTTGACAGTACACAGAGATAACTTTAGTGTGACAATAAAAACACCAGGATCAGTGCTATTCTTACCTAAAACCACAGACCTGTGAAGATCCAAGTCAGAATTGGTCTTCAGCAACCCACACATGTCGTAAGAGGTGATGATCAGGCTTGCTGACTTGTTTGCTTCATCATATCCAAATTGCATCGATCGATGCTCATTATATCAATCACTGGATTGTCAGGTCCAGACTTAATTATTTACAGACCACGGCCATATACCAGGAACATTGCTGAGTGCAAACAAACAAACAAACAAACAAAACACAAACCATATGACCACTGAGACAAACATTGGGCTCAGTGCATGTGAAGTGTAAGATCAACAAAATTGCACAAGGCAGCATATTCTGAAAGCATGAAATGCCATTAAAGAAGAATAAAGGTCTGTCTTACTTGGAGGAACCATTTCATCCACTTGTGATTATGGACAATAAGTGATCAATTGATGAAAGTGTCTGTCATGATTGATCATTTTATACCTTATGCCCACAGCTACCCAACTGACTGAGCTGAAACTTCAATCTGTTAAATTCAATATTGCCATAGTTTGATGGCCATATTGACTGAGCTGAAACTTCAAGGTGTAAAATTCAATATGGCAGTAGTTTGATGGCCATATTGACTGAGCTAAAAGTTCAAGGTGTTAAATTCAATATGGCAGTAGTTTGATGGCCATATTGACTGAGCTAAAAGTTCAATGTGTTGAATTCAATATAGCAATAGTTTGATTTTCAAATATATCTTTGTCAAAAACACTGAAATGTCTACAGGAAGGAAACTTTAAGAGTAAGATGTCTGGCACCTTTGGGGCAGGATATGCTCACCATTTTTGTGAACACCAAGTATCATCACTATTTGATAGTGATTCAAAAACACATTCTCATGTCTAAATCAGACAAAGAGATATTTTGTATTGTAATTATGGAAAGGGCTTTGTTAATTTGATTCCAGTTTCAAATTATTGTTTATTCAGTTACCCAGTTAGTAACTTTCACCTTAACTTAACTCTTTCCCAAAGCAACAATTATCTTTTTCAGTTTCTATGGCAATGTTTGTGATGGGTGCCATTGAAGCAGCAGGATATGGTCCCCTTTTTCTTGACACTTGGTAGCACCACTTATTGTATGTGATACACAAGCTCAAGATGAATCATACAGCCAACTCTGCTTTTGATAACAGTTTCTTTTGATTTTGAATATTTTTGTCACTTTTAACGCAGTTTCAAAGGCATCGTTTGTTGAAATGGACTCCTTTCTCATAAACTGGACTACTCTCTGATAAAATATATGACTATTTTGCAATTTCATTGGCAATTCTTTTCATTACTTACAAAGAGAATGTTCTGCATTTCGGATTTATCAATTTTTTACAATCGTAAATTAACTACAAGCATTTGGCATACAGGAGATTTTGCAGCTTAATATCTGTATTTGTCACTGAGAGAAAAGTTCACATGTAAAAAAACATGCATATGCAGATGTGGACTGTCGGGATGGCTTGGCAGCTATAAGATGTTTGATTCTTGTGAAATAAGCCTGTGGGAGCCTGCAGCACGTGGGAGAGTCTCTGTCGGTATTCCCTGGAAGGCACTGCATTAATCATTGTCAGGAACTCTGAGAGGGGCATAAAGACATATCTACCACCCTAGGATATATAGCTTTAATGCTATTGCATCACAGTCAGAATTTGTTTGTGCCTCTTTTATCAATATTCCAGCAATAAAACTGCAGGGACACTAGAAATGGTCTTCGCTCACTGTACCCAGGTGGGGAGTCAAACCTGGGTCATCTATGTGACGAGTGATTGCTTTAACCACTCAGCTACCCCACCACCCCACACAGTGTTTTCCAGCCATCACGCTGAAACGATATAAGGAATCTCTTGCCACTGTAGCTGTACTTAACACACTGAAGAATCTGGTTGTTACTATTGGCATACAAAAAATGTTGGGAGAATATGATTTGGGATGGTAGATAAAACATATGTTGACATACCTCATTTGCATAGAATTGCAATCAGCTGGTTCACAAACTGTCAAGGCCATTTAGAAGGTTTCAAAAATGAATTCCTTGTTACAAACATCCTCAGACCATTTGCAACACATATATCTGAATGTTTTGCAAATGATAAGAGGAGTGTTCATTTTCATCCAGGGTCATGCAAATTAAAATTCCAAAACTCTTTCCATATTTGTAAGAAATCTCATGTGATTATGAATCATTATCAATAGTGACGATACAA